CAGGCAGCCCCCACAGCCGAGAGCCAGGGGCTCCATCTGCATGGAGCCCGGAACCAGGGGCTCCGACTGGGTGGCCATTTCTGAGGTGCCAGAGGGGGGGGCCGCAGAGCCCGAGGGGACCCTCGGGGTGCGGCGCGTGCCCATCCGTGTCATGCGGATTCAAAAAGCTGATTAGGGAAAGCAAGGGGGCTTTTTGATGATTAGGAAACTTATTTTAATTCAAAGTTAAAAGAAAAGCTGCAGTAGCTTCAAGATAATTGGAAGAACCTGACTGTTCAAGGTTTTACCTACTGATGCTCTGTTTTATCACATATCAAAAAAAAAAAAAAAATCAGTGGAAGATAGTCCAGTTGTTTTAAGAAGGTGACCCCGGTATCTATAACTCAACTCATTTTGCATGCGAACAATGAAGTTTATGCCCGAAGCATTATGCATCTTTCTGCATTGTGAAAAATACCTTTTTTACCCAATTAATTCACAGGCTAATGACCACAATTTTGAGCCATTAGGTTAATCCCCCCCATCACATGCAAGTACCATGTAAACTCACTGATTTGTTATTAAGCTGGCTGCTATCATAGCCAGTGGTCACATCCCTTATGTGCAATATATTAAAAGGACCACAAGCCTTTGGATAGGATTTTGGAGCATCAAAATTCCGAAGCTTTTCAAATATCCTCTTGATAGTAGGAGGGTCATAGCACAAGAAATAGGAGGTCTTTGAAATGTGATATCCATACCTGCAAGGAAAGACTCTCTCAGTTATAATGCTTTGCATGCTAGACTTATGAAGGGAAGACTCATTGAAATGCAATGTGATCTTTCATAGCTATGAGAATGTGGGCAGTGAATTTGGATCTTCCAACAGATTTCATTGTGCAATTCAGAATCCACACTTGCATTTCAAAATATTTCCAACCTTTGTTTTTAAAGGGCTTGGACAATATAAAACAAAGCATGATTAGCTCAGTCCAATGGAAGCAAATGTCACTCTTCAACCAGAAGTGGGCACCAGCAATGAAGCCCAAAATATAACAGCCCTCCATCTTTACAAAAGTGGACTGAACGCAGCAAAGACAGAAGAATAGGAATTTCATATTGCCAACAATACAGGATCCCTTTTGGAGTCTGGAAAATTAAAACTTGAGTGAAAGACCTGATCCTTGTGTTACTATCCTCAGAGCTCCAACACCCAGGCCATCTCTAGCCTTCCTTGGGCCTCCACTCTCAACACACGTCCACCCGTGTCCCTTTCTAGACCTAAAGAGCAGCCCAAAGGGTTGCCACCCCACCCCTTTCTACCTTTCTGATTTCTAGTCAGGCCTAAGGAAATGAGAGGTGAAAAGTCTTTCCAACAACTAAGCTGCCCTTGCCAATGCTAATTTTCCAATCTCAGTGTGTACTGTGCTGAGTCCATTCTACCATAATCTGTGTCTCAAAGAGCGATCTCAGTTCAGCAGTAGTCAGAACAATGGCTGGAGATGGCAGTGAAAGGAGATATGCAAAATCAAAGTCTAATTCAGAAAAAGCAAGTGTCTTTGCAAGTTCAAGGGACTTCTACATTTCCCTTTTTAGAACATAAACTCCTCTGGTGTCTGTAGGAGACCCAGCGTAATGGGACCCCAGTGCTGAACAGACATCTGGGTACACGGAACAAACAGTAAGGTATGACTGAAATTGGTGTTGACCAAACACTGCTGCCATGTCTCTTCTCAAGAAGAAAGTCCACCAGCCTCCTTTGACCTACGAAGCACAAGTGACAAGATCTCCATCTTTAATTAACTGCTGTAACGTGGAATACTGTATCTGGTCACATGTACTTAGTTTTGTATAGAGGACAATACCCTATTGCCAGGTGGCTGACATTGTTCTGACTGGGATAGTCACTGGTCATGCAAAGCTCTGGCAAATTATAAAAGGAAAGTAGAATGTATTAAATAACAAGAGAACTTACAGTTCATAGATCTCAATTAATTTCTGCGCCAATGTTAGGTTCTTGGTTTCCAGGTAGGATGCCATTTCAGCTGTCACCACAGCTGCACTCACGCCATCTTTATCCAACACTGAAGTGCCACACAGGAAACCTAGGAATCAAAAGACTTATTTTGGAACTGTATAGAGAAAAGCTATGCTGTTTCCATTAGTTTTACTTGGGTAAAGCTTTAACTCTAAATACTCGTGATGCATCCAACATGTGTCCAACAATTGTCACTGTATTGATGAGCAGGCACATACATCTGCCAAGAGAGCTGGCCAACAGAAAAGTCATGAGCTGGAAAGATGTATGAAATTTAATTCCAGGCTAACAGAAACCTATACCTTCTACTATGTGAAAATCCCTTCTGATGTCACATGAGCAAAATACGGATCACAGTCTGAATCCAACCCACCAAAGGATCGTCTGGCCTGCGGTGGGTCCCTCAGTCCCACTCAGCTGAGGCGCAGCCCGGGCCATGGTGTGTGTGGCCAGTTCTGTCACCCCCAGGCACACAGTGGTGTTGGGATGGCACAGAGGGCAGACTTGCTTCCCAGCAGCCCCAACGGTGGCTCCTTCTGGCTGCCACTGCCACCAGACCTGGTCCTGCTGTCTGGGCACCTCAGTGAGTCTGTCTGGCACTCGCCACCACGGGTGGGACCTGCATGGGTAGGACACACGGCTGGGCGGAGGGGATGGGGCTGCGGGCGGGCAGGAAGCTGTGTTTGGGAGTGGGCTAGGCAGGCAAGGTTGAGATTGCAAGGCAGTGACAGTGTGAGGCTGGGGCTGGGGCCCAGGGCACAGCTGCCATCCACTGCCCACACAGCCCTGCAATGGGCATGGGTTCCACGGGCAGGGGCATGTAGGGAGCAGATCGCAGCTCTGCCCCAGGCCCGTCCCGCTCTGTCACTGCCCAGCAATCCCAGGGTCTCCATGGAGACCAAGTGGGACCCGCGCGGGCAGGGTGCATGGCCAGGTGGACAGAACAGGGCACGGGCAGGCAGGGAGCTGCATCTGAGGCCAGGATCTTGAGACAGTCACAGCACAGGGCTGGGGCCCAGGGCAGAGCCACAATCTGCTCCCTACGTGCCCCTGCCCGTGGAACCTGCACCCATCACAGGGCCATACTGGCAGCAGATCATGGCTCTGCCCCAGGTCCCATGCTGTCACTTCCCTGTGATCCCACCCCACGATCCTAGCCTCGCCCACCCCCCCCTGTCTGCCATCACATTCACCCAGCCAAGCACAGAGCAGAGGCACTTCGGGAGTTTTGGTGAGCTATTGTACAGGGGAGGTAGGGAGGAGGCAGTGCTGACCCAGCCTGCGACAGCTCACCAAAACTCTCCATGGGGCCCGCGGGCCCTAATAATTGCCCACCTCCATGCTAAGCAGAGACGATCTGTGCAAGTACACTCTGTGTGCTGCAGAGAGAGCTGTCTGTGACCAATTCAGGATGGACTAGTGCTGTTTAGTCAGTCAAGGATCTAGGTCCCAAATTAGCATTGCCAATTAAGTTGTTTTCAGATCTCTTCTAAAACGTAAGAGTGTAACCCTCTTGAGGTCACTATAAATCTCTTTGCACTTAGTATTTAAGTGTAGGATGTTAAAAACAGGCCTGTTTCTGGTCCAAATTTCATCTTGGATAACTGTTTTATGCTCCTCTTAACCCCACTTTAAAATTTAATTAGATATGTTGCTCTGTACTGCCTCTGCTCAAATCATATACTGTCATGTGCCACTAAACATCCGACATACGGAATCACTTCTGGGGCTGGAGTGCTGCCTATATAAGTCCTAATAAACCTTACAGGATTCTCAGGAGGCTTTACTTAGTTGTAAATCGCTTGGAGCTCCTGAAATCAAAAGGTACTATAGTGAAAGGCATGAGTGCTGGAAGTCATCTAATGGAATGAAAAATGTTTTAGATAGCACTTTAGAACGGTTGCCGACTAACAGACTGGAGAGTTGCAAAAGAAACCTTAGGTATGCTAGAAACATTTTACGGAAGAAATATTCCCCTAGAATTTTCTGAAAATCCTAGTTACGATTCTTTTTGCTTTAAAAGCTACTAACCATTAAATGATGGGCTGGTCAGAGCACATGCACACAAACACAAACGCACGCACCTCCTTTTCTCCCCATAAAGCAGTTACTCCACAACTGTATGTGCTCAGGTTCCTCGCATCATATTGCTCTAAAACATTTAGTACTGGCTGCCGTCAGACAGAAGATATGCGACTGATTTGATTGCCCGCTAGCCAGATCCAGCACGGAGGTTCCTAGGTGCCTGACCAAGAGAGCTCTGGACTGGGGAAAGGAACTTAACACAAGAAAGTGTCGGTGCGGGTCTAATTAGAAAGGAGAGCTGGCTTATGTTCTACTGGTACAGTTTGCTCTGTGATGACAAATCAACTATCAGATGCCTACAAATTCAAGGGGAAAAAAAGGCTTTAAAGTGGACCACGTAATATAACAGTAAATCTAAAAACATCTTGTAACTGTTAATGCTGAATTAAATTGAACACAAAGTCAGTGACTAGTTCTGTATGCAGAAAATAGGACATTCATTATTCCAAGATCCATTACAATTGTTATCAAGTGAGTTGAGGAGTAAACATTATAGATAGATTTCATAGATTTCTAGGGTCGGAAGGGACCTATTAGGTCATTCAGTCCAACCCCATGCTCTGGGCAGGAAAGAGCGCTGGGGTCCAGTAACCCCAGCCATGGCCTCCAAGATAATTTTAGTTCAATTTTGGGCCTCCAAGACTACTCACTTCTGACAGGGTTTCTAGTTACCTGGTCAAAAGTTTAGCAGTGACAGAGTCTTTGACCCAACCAGAAGATCTGAAGTGTGCCCCCCCCCGCATTTATTACAAGTAGCTGGTTGCATCTTTTTGAAGGCAAAACATCCACGCTAGTAAGCAGAATAGCAGAAAGAATGAGGGGGGGAAAAGATCTTGTTGGATACCGCTTCGAGCCAAGACATGTAAGAACACTGTTGTTTCCTAGCTTTCCCCATTTGAATAATGTGATAACACAGCATGCACTGTTATACCTACCAATAGACTCTTCAAATGAAAAAAGAACTTCTTTTCCATTGTCTAGGAGATCTTTCACTCTGCTTCCAATCCATTTAAAACCAGGTAGTGTTTCCTGAAAAATAAAGGGAGGCCACCTCACATGAAACCACCACTTCTTTTTATCAGCACAGTAGTCATAGACAAAGGGAAACTGTGTAAGCAGCAAATGTAGCACTTTTCTTTGCGTATATCGAGTTAATTTAATAAAAGATATCGCCTCTACGAAGAGCTCGGACTTCCATTCCAGAAAGCTTTCTTGAACAGAAGCCATAAGTACCAGGGCAGGGAAGTTAGAAAACCTCCAAAGATAAAACAATGTATTACGGGTTTCAAGATCAATAGCACCAAAGACTACTACTAAATCAAACAAAGTTAAAAATAATGCTAGTTTAAGACTTTACAGTGAAATCAATAAAAAAAAAACCTTATTCCAAGCTGTTTGTGTCAATTTACCAGATTTAAACACAGGAAAGTACAAATCAAATGAGTAATGAAGCCACGGCAATGTCTACTCGAGGTCAACATTCAATTTAGAGATTATGAATCCAAGGTAGGATTTTGTGAAATCGGTTTGCAAAACAAACAAATAAAAATACCCACAAAGGAATATGAATAGTAAACCTAGGAGTAAAAAGGGTTTGACACTCAAAGAGCCAGGGGAAACGGGATCTGGGAAACATGCACAGCAGAAAGCTGGTATCTCCATATAAGACACTGGAAAGCAGTGCTATATTAACAGATGAACAAACTGATAGACATAACAGCAATCCTAGCCGGGAAAAAAAATGACTCTCTTCCTACAAAAAGGGAATGCTATGAGGACAGATTCAAAATGAAAATAAAGGCTTCATATCAGATTAAAATATCCCAAGTTCCAAGACTTTAAATATTTATTAAAGGAGAAAATTAAAGAAATTAATTTATTTTAAAAATGTAAAAAGCCATTTTTCTGTTGGGGTGGGGAGTCAGTATTTAGGGAAATACCCCAACATTTTCACTAGAGATCAACAAAACTCAATTTGATTAGCACTACAATAGGCTTCCATTTTATTTAGCTTTCCTCCCCTCTTCCTCCCTCATTTTTTCTAATTCCTCATTGTTTGACAAAATTGGTAGAAAACTTTTATAAGACTTTACATTTGGATCCAACTGGGGCAGCCTCATTAAACAAAACCCGAATCCGATCAGAGAATCGGAGAGACGCAGGGCTGGAAGGCACCTCCATAGGCCATCAAGTCCAACCCCCCCGGCCTGAGGCAGGATCATCCCCATCAGGATCATCCCAGACAAATCCACTGTCTAAGCTCTTAGCAAAAACTGTACAGCCAACTCTGACACAAGACAGACACAACATCCTAATCTGACGGAGGTGTACGTCTCGCTGGAGCACTCATCAATATATGCTGCTCGCACAAAGGATCTGCTAAAGCACAGGTCAGAGTAGGCGTCACCAGCAAACCCGATGGACAGATGAACTCCTCACGGAAACAAAACTTGGCACGTGGGCCAGATGTGCACCCCAGCCAAGAGATGGGAGGGAAAGACAATGGTACAAGGTAGGATAGTCCAGTAGCAGGATGATGAGGCTGCAACAGGAACGCACAGGTCAGAATGTGAAACAAGCCCACGGTGCAGGACGGTTTGAGATGTTGAAGATAGAGATGCAATACGGCATTTGTTTCAATCAGTGCACAAAAGGAGAATTGGAAAGCAGGGAAACTTTGCAGTGGCCTGGGGGAGTCTGCGTGGTGCTGTGCCGATGACTTTGTCACAGGTACAAGTGCCTTAGCTCCTGATGTACTTGTTAGGCCAAAACGTGAGGGCAGTGCCCGTAGACAATAAACCTGGCCAAATCGTTGCCACCAAACCGAGCCTGCAGTCCATGTTTGAGATAGGATTACTGTTGGGCTCTGGCTGCAATCTTGCCAGCACTGCAATTCTTGGGACTTCAACACGGGCAGCACACGGTAACACCTGACGATGACAACAGCAATGACAACACCGATAACCCCAGATATCAACAGGTAAAGCGGGAGGACCAGAGCAGCCAACATTGTGCTGCTGTAAAGGCTGTTAAAATATGTGCGAGGAACACAAAGAGGGCCACACCACCATGCTCTGCCCCCCACGGCAGAAGGCGGCAAAACCCCTCCCACAGTCTATACTAATCTGACCACGGGGGAAAATTCCTTCCTGGCCCCAAATACGTTGATTGATCTGACCCTGCGCAGAGGGACAAGACTCTCTAGCCAGAAACCTGTGAGTTAAAAGTCCCCGCAGGAACACAGTCCAGATCCCAATGCCTCTAAGGGAGGCTTTTAAATAAATAAAAAAAAAAAACCCACAAGAAAAAACCCTGATACATGTAGTAGCACAAAAGGAAAAGATTTCCTCCTGGCAACAAAGCCGAGAACCATTGGCAATACCCATAACAGAACATAGGCACAGATAGCTACAGTGAGATCATCCCTGAGCAATGCCTGTCCAACCTCTTCTTGAACACCTCCAATGACAGAGTCCACAGCTTCCCCAAGTGTCCACTGCCCCACTGCTCTAACAGTAAAGAAGTTGTTCCTGATATCCAAGCTAAGCCTACTTTGCAGAAGCTTCAAGCCGCTGGTCCATGTCCTATTCTCTACAGCAAGAAAAAAAAGGTGTTTTCCCCTCTTCCTTATGGCAACCTTCAGCTATCTGAAGACAGCTATCATGTCCCCTCCTAAGCATCTTTTCCACAAGCTGAGCAGTAAGGAGTACATGTTTTGTCTGTCCTTGTATCACATGCTGATAGTCCTGTAATTCTGGAAATGTGAGTTACACAGGATAAGTGTCTCCTCTGAAACAGCCCCGCTTCTGTTTTTATTACGCTCTTCATGAAAAAGTATAAAATGGTTACAATCTGGCTTTTCCCAATTAAGTTATGAAACTTCAAAACAAAAATCTAGTTAGAAAAAGTCACAGTATAAGGAGTGATTTTAAAATTGATTTGAAAGCTTACAAGTTTTCTTGTCACAAATTTGACTAAAAATCAAGCTTTTGTAGCAACCACTCCGGAAATGCCAGACTTTCTCTCATTCCCTTGCACAAGGTAAAAACCTGAAATACTAGATCACTCTTATGATAATGGGCCAAAAAGTTAGCCTGGTGCTTTGAGACACCTCCCTCATCTCTCCACAGCCTGACGTTATTACAGTATGTATTCTCACCTACATGGATGGGTAGGCAATGCAGATGCTAGTCTGTTAGACAGGCCAACGAACTCTAATAGGTAAAAAGCAGCAGTCTTAAGCCAACATATCAGATAAAATAATCAAAAAACAGCAATGAAAACCGAGCTGCCTATCAACTTTTTGGAGGCAGAGACAGGCCGGCTGCAGATTTCAGATTTATATCAATAGCTATAAGTCAGTGTAGAGCAGAAGACCACAAGCCACCTAAAAATCACTTACTTCAAAGTGAAAACCTTCCTTAAGTGCAATCGCCTTGAGAATTTTTGAGGACACGGTGGTTGCTAACATGTAAACGTTCTTCACATCAGCGTCCTTGGAACTGTTCTCTCTCCAACAGAAGAACATCCACCATCCAAACAGAGCTGCCAGCTCGTTGCCAGTGAACACCTTCCAGCGACCACTGCAAACAGCAGGGAAACAGAATCAAACAGTCCTTTCAGATGAGAATCACAGACCGCGAGTATTCTGCAATCACAAGAAAAATGGACGATCTAACAAGGTGTTCGACCTGGAAAAAGCAGCTCTATGAAACATAACATTAGAGGGCTCCATCATTATCTTGCCTGACAGATTTCCTGGACAAATGTGGTCCGTTTTCAAGGAGACGGTTGTTACTGTGTTGCCAACCCCTTCAAACAATCTGTGTTCTTTCTGGTTCATTTCCCACTAATAATCTGCAGCCCACACCAGCATCAGTTATCTATCATCTCACATCTATCTTCAATGGAACTGCAATAGTATCCACTGTCAGGATCTGGCCTAGCGATTGCTACCCGATTAACAATTCTGCTGAATTCGTAAGGGCTTCTAGCTCACTCTCCCATAGCTGCAATGGCTCAGAAGGGCTGGCAAGAATTTAAAAAAGGGAGTAAATAAGGTCATTAAAGAAGGTGCTAGATTTACAATAGCTTCTCAAAATGGATGAGCATTGCAGTAAAATGTCACTAAAATGGGGGTATTTGACCAAATCTTTCCTGAAAGTATTAAACTAAATGATGCATTTTAAGCAAGATCAGTTACAACTATGGCTGTGGATGAAGACTTTTCCGGGTAAAAGTTTCCAAACAGCAAATGTCATGATGTTAGGCATAAAGGACTAAAGCACCAAACCGAATTATCCCTTAAAAATGGAGCAGAAAACCTCTCCTCCTCCACCTTTCTTCTGAAGGAAAGGTCGTTTTACTTACTTCTCTTGTAGCTCTGCCACTGCCAATCTGTCTGCATCGGGATCTGTGGCCACTACCACCCTGGCATTCTCATTCTCTGCAAGCTTCAGAGACAACTCCTGAAAAAAGACCAGTTAGGTATTACATACCGATGGCCAAATTATATTTCAGTCCCTCCGATCTATGAGCTCATCTAAATTCAGTTACCCAGGCATAACTATTACTCTATCGCAACAAGAAAAGTGAAAGCCCAGGGAAGGGCGGAAAACGACAGAATTCATGACAGATACCAGCACAGATTCTCCTTCTTCAGGATTTGGACATTTGACAGTAGAAAAGTCTGGATCTGGATCCTTCTGTTCAGGTACTGGAATGGGAGGCTTAAAACCAAATGCTTTAAAAGCCAATTGTACATAGTCATGTCCAACTCCATGAAAAGATGTGTGCACGAACTTCAAGCTGGTCTTTGCATTCAGCTCCCTGAAAAGGAAAGCTAACATTCAGTTATTACTGCAGAGATCACATCACAGAAGTGCTGAAATATCACAAAAGCCATGACAATGCAGCTAATATCCAGCTAATAGCTTCATTTTCTGTCGAAATCTAAGTTAGGTCTGAAACAAAAATGGCTTTGGGTGTTCATTAAAAATTGCTGGCTAAAAGATTTCCTTCCTCTGAAAACCACTGTCTTGGCTTTACTGCTCAGCTAGCTGAAAGTCCCCAAGACTGGGACACATCTTTCTGCAAACCAAGCTTTCCCCTCCTCTCCACCTTGGAAGGCTTTAGCTCACCTCAACCCCACCTACGTTCCTTCACTCAGCTCCTCCAAGTTTCTTCGCTGTGCTCCACACAAACTCCCATCTTAACTGCTCCTCCACCCACCCCTGGTTCTGCATCTTTTCTGAAGCTCCGCATGCGTGAAAGTCTTAATTGTAATGTATTCACTTGATTATTAAGGTTCATCTCCCACGTGAGTTAGTACCATGGGTGCATGACAGTGAGCAAACCTGACAGTACAGTGTGCAATTACAGGAGATTGTATCTGAGGTGCGTGGCACGATAAGGTTTGGATTCAACCATCCAGCGGGATGCATTTCTAACAATGCAAGAGAAAGGTGAGAGAGAAGAGATGGCTGGCAGGCAGGACAGTGGAACAGGAAGAAAAACAGAAGGAAATGTGCCAAAAGCCTTCCTCCCACTAGCAATGCATATAAACCACAGACAGGAAGCTATGCTCCTAGGAAAAGTCAGTTATGGCTGCTATGAATGGTGAAAGCAGGGGGAAGGCTTAAATCATTTGATACAAGATAAAGCCATAAATCAGGCACAAAATCTTATATAATCATTAGAAGTAAAGGTAAGAGAAAGGGGCTGGTGCAGGCACCTACCCTGGAGATTTGCAAGAGGAGACTGGACGCACACCCTGTTGGGGTTATTTGACCCCAGCAGTCTTTCCTGCCCAGAGCAGGGGGCTGGACCCGATAATCTCGTGAGGTCCCTTCCAGCCCTAAACTTCTGCAAATCCATGACCCCTAGTAGACTAATTCAGTGGTGTTCAACCTCTTGGCCCTACAGGTCAGATGAAAGGTGTAGGGCCGATTCGTGGGCTGGGTTGAACCTTGCCAGAGAAGGGATCAGGCTTTAGGGACCCACATGACCTCTGCCAGGCCCTGAGCATCGAGATTGAGCCCTATGCTGCCCTGCATACCCGATCTAGCACACAGGGGCTGGTCCCCATGGACCAGATTACATGGCAACAGAGGCCAGATGTGGCTTACATGCCAGGGGTTGAGCATCCTTAGTTTACTCCATTCTGTATTCTCAAACAAGGTTGACTGTCCTTGTCTTTATTTTTCAGTTTGGCATACATTTCACCACTGGCCAGATCCTGTTCTGCTTTGACTTGTTAAACCCCACATTGTACCACAGGGTTAACAGCTCTCTCTCCTCATGTCCTACCTGTGAAAACAGATCTTCTTCAGATCCTCCATGTAACTGTCACAAATCTTCTCCAGAGGATCTCGTCTCAGAGGGCTAGTGTCTACTAGATTCTCATTCCAAGAACCGTTCCATGGCTCAACACATTCTTCTATACATTTCAGAATTTCCTTATCATGAGGAGCTGTGATCTGAGCTCCATTTTCCCAATACACCTGGTAGAAAGGAAAAACAACACAAACATTCTTGACACTTAGAACAGCATCTTAAATGAATGAACTTATAAATCCATATGACTACAGGACTCTACAAAAGAGAACTCACAGCAAAGCCCACTACCAGACTGTTTCAGTTCAAGAATCCTTTTGGGATGATTTGGGATAAATTGTTCCGTTAAATAACTTTAGGCATGTATTTTCACAGTGAGGTGGCACTCCAATTTCAGAGTTGCTGAGCTCTACCATCTCTAACTGAAATTTTATGGAAAATAGTGAATTTAAAATCCACCCATAAACTGGCCAGCCAATATAAAAATGTGGTTTCTTTTAAAAAAAATACTTTTTGATTTCCAAAGTGAATGAGAACAAACTACACAAGCAACAGGTCAAGCTATAACTCACCGTTTGCAATTATTTCTAATGGGAGAATCATTTTCATCTAAAGTCAAATCCTGAACATACTCTAAGACCATGGATAAATGTACCTTTTAACTGCTTTAAAAGAGTACTAAGAGTTGCTGCTCAGGTGCAAACATCAGCTGTTACAATGCAAACTCTGTCTGCATGTTCCTGTAGTACAAGTTGGCTAAACTGCTGTAAACTTTAACCCCGCCTTTAAAATCAGAAAAGTTAACATTGCAACAGTTTTGCTATACTTGTATTGCTACAGCAGCATGCAATTTATGTATATATGGAACAGCATAGATTGATATTTGACACTCGCACAACTGTCTATACCCTAAAGTAGAAAGACACAAAGCACGTGTCCTGAAATAGTTGCATCTTCCAAAAAAGAGGTAAGAAAATTTGCATCTCCGGTAATTCAAATGCAGCACTGGGGACAATTAGGGCTGTGAAAAAGATTTAAAAATTTGTGGCCATTAGTTGCGCAATTAAAAAATTAGCTGCAATTAATCCTGATTTTGATCGCACAGCTTAAAAACTCAAAATTATGTGCAGAAAAACAAAATTATGCAAAATAATGCAGCTACTTTGTATGGTTGGGGAGTGGGTGTGGGGAGAGGATCTGTGAATGTGTGAGGGGCTGTGGGTTTGCACATGGGGTTTGGAGCCCAGGGGGAGGGTGTCCCTGCAGGGGGGTCTGGAGCCTGGGAAGGGAGGACCCCTACATGCCCTGGTAGGATATGGGGGACTGTGGATCAGGAGTGAGGGGCAGCAGCAGGAGGGGATGAAGCAGGGATGGGGGAGGGAAGGGGCAGCGGTGGAGCAGAAAGGAGGTCCACACAGTGAGGGAGAGAGTGGGGCAAGGGCAGGGGTGAATGGGACCCCGGAGCCGAGGCGGGTTGTGCAGAGCCGCAGGCAATTCATCCAGAGGTACAGGGAGGGTGCAGCACAGGGGAGCAAAGGCAGCAGGGCGCATATCCCCCCATGCCTCCCCCAGGGGTGCACGCAGTGGTGGGGAGCTACACCCCCCACCCCAGACAAGCTGCCTGTGGCTCAGTCCCATGACCCACCCCGGGGCTCCATTCACCCCAGCCCCTGCCCCAGCCCCACTCCCTCACTCACCATGGGGGCCTCAATCTGCGCCCCCACCCCTCCCCTCTCCCCTTCCCCTCCACAGACTTACTGGCAGGGCACTGCTCTACGTGCCACCTGAATGCGTTCCTGGCCGTGTGCGTACTGTGGCTGCTCGTGTGTCTGTCTGTGTGCCCCCCCACGCTTCCTGCTACAGCAGCTTGGAGTCCATGCACGGGCTGCCCTGCAGTCCTCTGCACTGTCACTGCTGCCCCGCTGGGAGACCCGGAGGCAGCAATGACGGCGGCAGAGCCCCGGTGCAGGCTCCAAAACCACGTGCACAATTAACGAGTTAAAAAAATTAAACGCAAGAACCACTTAACATGTTAATTGCATATATTAACAGAGATTACTTGACAGCCCTAGAAAATATTCATTTCATATGCAAAGTTCACACCACTTTTAAACAGTTCTACAATGAAAGAGTACCACCTCTCAACCATCAGAGAGATGTTCTTTTTAGAAAGCTTATTTTTAAATGTTTAGTTTGGCTCCAACTCTCACGCTGGACAAGTGCCTATAAAGAATTACAAAAAAGGAAATTAATAGAACGTAGATTCATAGAAGCAGGGTCAGAAGGAACCTAAGTCAATCTTCAAGTCCGACCCCCTACTCTGGATTTGAACTCGGGCCCTCTTGCCCCCTAAGCAAGAATCATACCCCTAGACCAACGAGCCAGCTTAATATCAACATTTGATATTGTGGCAGGTTACAGGGCTTCAAGTTAGCAAAAAATGACAAATTAAGCCCTCTGGTTTTAAGCAGAGCATAGTTTGGTTCAGTGCAACTCCAATTGCAGGCTTGGTTTTAAATAAGTACCCTTTTTATGCACTCATAAATATAGATCTGGAAACCAAAAGCTCTCTATAAAAAGTAGAAAAATCTCCCTAAATTCAGCCTTAGGCTACCAGCTTGGGAAACAAATGTTCTTTAAATTGGGGTCTCAGAATTACTTCAGCTATTGACTAGTCTCTTAATGAATGGTATCAGTAAATGGACTGTACTCCAGACACCCAGTGGACTTCATAACTTCTTTGTTTTTATTCTTAAAAAGACTAAATTGTAGGTACAATCCAGAAGCCAGCAGGACAGAAAGTTTTATTTAAATGTTACTTTCTCCTCCTTTCTAGCAGATCTACAAATGGCTGCTTCTGAAGTACGTCTGTAAATATTTTAGCTTTTATAAAGGGCCAAATGCTGAGCATCTGGGAAATAAATATATTTACCAAGGATCTAGCTTATCTGACAAAAGTTACCAAATAAGTGCCCAAAGCTTACCTTATATCCATTATCCTCTTTACGGTTATGGGATGCTGTAATCATTACGCCAGCAACAGCTTTGAGCTGCTGAACAGCATAGGGCTGAAAGAAAACAGCAATATAAATTTACTCAACTACTAAGGTGCTGACATAAGTACAATTAAGGTGTCAAAATTGTAATATCTCATCTAGTTAGAGAGGGAATTAATGTGTGTTCTTAAATTTCACCAACTGAATTCAAAGATGCCACATGAGAACATGCAGAACCCTTTTTGTGTTCTGTTATGGCAATGATTTTGAAGCGAAAATGTTCTGAATATGACTACTCTGGATTATGGGCATGTTACCTTATTTCCAGAATAGATAAAAAGATATTTAAAAAAGTATTCCCAAGCATACAGCTTTTCAACGACTTATGAAAAAGAAAAGCCTCTACTTAAATTGTACATATATGAGAGGACTTAAAAATACTGGAGCAGCTATCAAGGAATCTATATTCATATTGCATCCATGAAAGACTGCACAGAAACACCTACTAACAACTACAATTAGAAACTGATTTAAAGTTATATAGCTGGAGAAAAAAAATCACCATCCAGAATGCAGAGAAGCCTAATCCTTCAAATGTTTCCACGCGCATATTCCTTCTGAGCTGACCAGGACTACCTACATTTGTAATTATTTGCAAGGCAAAAACCACAGATGGAATACAGGTCGCTTAGTACTTACTACAGACCAAATTTTGCTCTCGGCAACATAATTTATGTAGATACTCCAGAGAAAAAATTAAGAAATGTACTTTGGTTTTTAAATACTAGATACAGAGAGAAAAGGATTGAGCCCTATGATTTTTAAAGTCTTCCTAAGGAACCGAGCTTTCCAAATGTCCTCTATTGTGCCATTTAAATTCCAGCTTTCTGATCAGAATAAATACTTTTATTTAATGTGGAAGGTCTAAATGTCTGAAAAACACCAGCTGTATGATTGAACAAAACTTACCACAAAAGGTGTAGGGACATAAGTTGAAAACAAGTACACTGGAACATCTTTAGCAAGCAGGACTGCTGCGGTGAGTTTTGCAAGTCTATTAAAAAGGAACACACACACAAAAAAAAAAATCAGTTAACCTTATTCCCCACAATACTCTTCAAAAGCCAGACTTCAAAGACATTCTTTTCCTGCTTCTCTCCAAAACAGGAGACTTATGATTAAGGAAATTGCTGTAATATAAATGTAGGTTTAATTTAGATCATCTTGCTATAGACAGAACTGTTTTCCAGGGATGCAAGTCTCTAATTCTTCTTTATTCATTAGTGCCTGTTACAATGTATAAACACAAAATTCATTAAAACAGAACTATCCACATGTTTAGCTTTGATTCAATCTGTGGAACATAAAGCAAATAGCAACACTTTGAAGAAACCCACCTAACAAACCTAAGCCCCCATTCGATAGTAATATCATCTCCATTTCACTTTTATTCCATTACCTTCCATTGCTTACCACTTTCACTTATTATGCGTGCCTATAATTACAACTTAGGCTCCGAGGGAGCAATTTCCCTATTCTGTTATACTGACGTGCCTCCTTGAAGACTGACTGATTTTAGTTTAATAGTACAAAGACAAAAGGTCAAATCACCTGATTAACTACGAACTACTGCTAATTGGAAAAACGCAGAGTTGAGCTTCTGGATACATTTTCCCTTTTAAAAATGCTAAATTCCTACAAGAAAAGATTTTAAGAAGATAAAAACACATGTAGGCATTGAACAGAGCAAACCTGGCGATTTACATAGT